TTTTTTTTGGTGGGAGGGGCAAACAGGGTTATACATCGGTTAGATTACTTGATAACTTTATTAAAATCACAAGGTACCTAATACAACTTTTTGATTCTTTAAAAATGTTTGGGTGCTATTGAGATTAAATAATCTGACCTCTTAATATCCAGAATCCGACATAATTGATTATATTCGTACTACAGTAGTACAGTCTACRGTTAGTTATATAAAAATTCCCGTTTTACTGTCACTTTTTTTTTGTTTTTCTTTATTTTTTGGAAAACTGGTGGAAAATGTTTACTTTTGACCTGTATATTTCACCAAGGATATTCACTTTTCCATCGGAAACCATCCCCTATGTTTGAAATTGAAGCATTATTTCGACTAGTTATGCTGTACACAGACACAAAAAAATAACACACATCATTGTAAAATCAATACATTCATCACTCCGTTCAAAATTTAAAATGGACGTTTGTTTATCCAAGTTAACAGATCCAAAAACTTCCTACTGGATCATTTTAAATCAAAATTACATCAATAGATTTCTTGTCTCGGAGGTTGCTTATAGTTTATTTTTTCAATCTCTATATAACGGCTAACGTTGCAGCTTTCACATTATTTTTTTGTGTTCAMGAAAAATTATATTTTTTGTTTTTTTATAGAATTATCATTTACTACACGATATTATAATTCTATAATTAGTAGAAGTTTGGTAAATAAATTTTTTTATAAATATACATATATGTATAAACACAACTCTTTGGCATTGGAAATTCCAGGCGGGCTAATATTATAGATATATACAATGTACAAATATTAACATAGTGGTGTAAATAAAAATAAATTATTTGTACAGGGAAGCTTAAACATCCCGAGTAGTTGTTATTTAAACAGCAATAGAATTCCCGTGGACTTTAGCAAACATTTTAWAAGCTTACTATTTTCTAATACTATTATGCCTACATACAAATTTTATTAATTGATAGAATAATAAATTACATTAAMAATAATAATAATGGTTTTATACTACTACCGTAGATTGGTCTTAAGTATCTACATAAGTATGTCTTATCCTATGTAATACAACCTGTATTCGTTTCTTTGTTTTTTTTTAAATTATGTTTCTAGATACRAGATACCTAAATAATATATAGGTACCTATTATTGTAAAATGTAGATCGTAGTTATTTTGAAATAACGATTACAGTGATATTATATATTATATTTAAATCACACAGTTAATTATATTTTAACTTATATCAGAAAAATATACAAATGCTTTGGAAAATAAGCCATACACAATAAATGTCTATTATATTAAATTTTTATTGAGAAACAATCTTCATTTCTAAGTTAAATATATTTTTATTCATATTTCCTCGAAAGGGCTTGAAATATTATTGGTGAGATCTTAGCATCCCCCTAATTGCGCTATAGATATATTATAAGGCTAGTGAACTACTCGTGACGTATTGGAAGTAGATAGGGACAGTAGGATAGGAGAAAGACCTAGCTACTATAATAGCGGTTATATTATATTGGAGATATTGCTCTACCGTTGATGTCATTGCTGTCATTGCGTATTGCTCATTCAACACAAATATAATATTGTACAAGCATGGTGTATAATGTATACACTGATTACAGGGGATTTACATAATCACCTACTATGATCAATGCTCGTCGCCCTTTTTATCCCTTAAAAATGTATTTATTCAAATTCTGATTTTTGAATTTTGAATTTTGATGTATTCTCACATACTTAAAGAACATTAAATTTTCAAATAGAAGATTTATAGAATTTAAGKTGTAATTTTTTGAGGCGATGTTCTATTTGTTTTGTAATGAAGACCACCTTTTTTTTTATTGTAAGCAATTAATAAGTAATGTTTTTTTTTTTGGAACATTCTGATACCTCAAAATATAAATTTTAATAATTATGTAGTTTATTAGTTGTTACTTATTACACTTTATGTACTAACAAGATAATCCTTTATAATTTACAAAATTTACATTTTATAGTTTTGCAAAATATAAAATTGTTATACAGTTATATTAATTGCTTTAATTTTGAAATAATTATATAGGTACCCTTTTTAATAATTCAAAAACTACTCGTTATTTTTTGATTTTACACACAAAAWTTTTTAAAGAATAAGTTTATATCACAGGACACCCCTTAAATTGTATAAAATATCTGAATATTTATGAATATGGTGTACTAAGTAGATGTACTTACTCGTAAGTCTGCTTAAGAATTCTAAACATCAGATTTGAAAAGATTAATTATTGAAGGAAATGCTTAATAAATGACCTTGCACGTAGATATATTATTATATATTATGAGCGTAATGGTAACAGTGGCWCAGACATTATACTTTCAGAATACAACCGATTGGCCTTTTTCCCACACTCTATATCATAACCACATATCRTATATAAGAGTTAAATCATCAAAGTTGTCACGGCATACATAATACATATTCTATAGAGTTTCGGCCGATTAAGTTCATCGACACGGCGACGGCGCGAGCGCGAGACTAGGAAGATTAATTTGTTACACATTTTCYTTTTCGTCATGACGTCACTGTCTGAACGCGTGACGTCATTGGCTTTTGACCCACGATTCCCGGCGGTGTGCTACGTGCATATATCGACTTAAAGTTGTAGCCCGATGACCGCCGACACCGACACTTTTACTCAAACTCCAAGCTATTTGAGCGTTCTTCTGCTTCTGCTATACTGCTGTTTACCGTCACTAACTGTAGCACTATGATAAATGATAATGTATGAGCAAGTATAAGATAGGTACCTATATACCTATAAATTAATACCGTCCATTACAGTGACCCACTTGTAACTTTTACTGTACAGCAGAGTGACATCCACTTGCCCTTGCTTTTTTTTTAAATGCAAAATTTTAAATGTTATTTGTAAAAGTAGGTAAAATTTTTTCTCGCTTTTTGGTAAGTTAACTCTTCAGAACTAGACTATATACCAACTGTCAAGTCATATAAGTCACTAGTCAGTGATGTCTGAAGCCACCCCCCTCCTCACAGAAATTTTAAAAACATAAAAAATTATTTTAATAGTCTATACGAAAGTTAGTACAAATTCAAATTTGTAAAGCTGTAGGTACAAGGTCCAAAAACTAAAATAAAACCTAGACATTCAAAGTTCTGGCTACGCAAATGATACAGTAATTTGAGTATATAACTTCAACTGACGACTGTACAAGACTTTATTGTTTTCGTTTAAGGAAAACGTATTTACAATTAGTTTGGCTAATGAGTAATCAACTATTAACTATGTTTTTTATCATAACAAAAGTTTTATTGCTGTATCTAAAATAGTTTGTAATATGTAATGCTTCTATCGTTGTAAATTCGTGATCGACGGTATTTCCATAAATCCCATTTCCTTGCCATGATATCGTGCTACAAATGGACGTCGGACGATATTACGATAGCATAATAATAATAACATATCAATTATCTATACATTATAGGAAAAGTAATACTCACCAGTGGTCAACTATTGTTTGATATTGGTTGTGGGCCGGACATCATGGCCCACCTTTTTTTTCCTGTTAAAAAACCAAGAACGGGTGGGAACTGTTCAACACAATACTGCCACCCGTCCCTGWATCGTTTAAATCATGGCCCCTACCTTAATCCGGGCTTGATATTCTGTATCGTAATGTCGTTCATAGCCCAACCGATCGAAACGTTGTGGTGATCATCAAAATATATTTATTTATTTTTTGTATAAAACATATAAATTAAAAATAAATGAATCGTATGTTATAATTATTAATATAGGTATTAAATCTAAAATGTACTTCAATTTCGATGAAAAACTAATTATTTTCCTATCTTCTAATATAATAATATAAGCATTTAGTCTTTAAAAAAATTGAATCAGTAATATTATTTTTATTAGAACGGAAAAAAATTACCTCGAGTTGTCTGATATCTATCGTGTGTCATTAAACGTTAGCAATGTAAGCCTAAACGGGATAGTCAGCCATTTTATACTGTCAATTTTAAAACGCTACCTTAAATAAATGTATTTGAAAATCGCAATATCAGCGTAAAATACGGTTGATAATATTAAAATGGAGTCTTTCACTTAAATTCTTGCTACCAACTATTTAAAAAAAATAAAGTAATAACTAATAAGTAAATGTCAACCGTAAAAGTATAAATTTTTCTTCATAATATGATAAMGATCAAAATATCAAACACATAAAATTGATTAAAACAAATAGTATAATATGTAAATCAAATTTATTTTATTTTAAATCATACAATTAATACAATATATCTATTTAATATCAATATTGAGTATATTTATAGTCAAATCCAACTGATAATGGTATAGTTCTGTATGATATATTATATGTATTATTTTAAGATTATACATATAATATTATATAGGTACATCTAAATGTTGGTAAATCAAAATATAAATCTTTAAAACAAATCACATCACTTGTCTTATAAAATAATAATAAAAATAATATATTAAAATATAATATTCTTGAGCACAACTACAAAAATGTTATGATAATTACAAACAAGTATAAAAAGATATAATTTTGGATTTAACGAACGTTTACGTCGATGAGACCGTTGCACGACTGCCATACAGTCGTTCAAACGAAACTAATGAAGCTTATAATATTATGATCGCGTGTCCAACACACGAAACAATGTAAACGGTCGACCGAAGGAACATGTTCGTATATATTATTATACTGGTTAATAATATAAAATACAAAATAATAATAATAAATGGACGGATAATATTATTTTACAGACATGAATAATATTCCTATAAATCAATATGGCAACTCGCTATTTACTCGTGTCAAAAACATGCCGTATTATAAAAGCCTACAAATTTAAATATTAATTAACTGTATACATATAATATACCGTATAATTAAATAAATTTACATGATTAATATCTCTTAAAACATAAGTAAAAAAAAAAAAAAATTAAAAGTAGGTACTTAAAGTATCAAATAGATTATAGTATATTATATTATACAAGTATAATAATATCCCCTTAAAAAAAAAGCATAAGTTACGACGCTTTAGATAACGGCCGTCGTTTAATAGATTTTCGTTACATTATTATTATTATTAAATACTTTTACAATATTMATTATTTTGTTCCGTGGGGGAACTGGCCGAGAGAACATGTTAAACACCAAAATATGCTACCGTGTTCTCTATCCACGGCACAGATTCTAAAATTGCGTTGTAAAGCGATGGTTTTGATGATCGGCCGTAACCACCCTGGTAACTGAGCATACCTTGTACCTGCCACAATCCATTCTCCGCCAAACACATTAACGGTGATCCAATTTCCATCTGTAAGTGGCAACGATATTTCATAATTTAATAGGAAACAAAAAAAAAATATCAACTGATCTAAAACACATTTTGTTTTCTATTTTATTAACGGTCGTGTCATTTTTAATATGGAATATGGTAGGTAAATAATAAAATGATAAAAATTAATATAACAAAAAAATTAATTTTGCTCTACATATTTTAACGCGTGATATACATGTTGTCGTTATACAAGGTTCTTGAGTACATGATATTATTTCATGAATCTAAAATGCCTAATAAACTAAATTTATGTAATAGTTTAATCACAAATTCGCACATAGTATTAATATAAATAATAATTATTCAGATGCTATGGATGTTTTGATTTTAAAAAGTTCATAAGTATTTTGCAACACAGAGATAGAATATTCTACAGGAGTACATGAGCTAATTAATAAAGGTTTTTTAATTAATTTATTAAAAAAAAATAAAAATGAATGAGAATATTATATGAAATTGATGAAGGTTGTCTTTATTTTTTTTTTCATTCAGATTAACATATTAAAACTGTACAAAATTAAAGAAGGTGTTGATTTTTTTCATCCGTAAACATCGTTTGTTAAATTAATATTTCTGCATAATATTATTTATTGTTAAAAAAAAGATGTCAACTGAGCGAAATTATTAACATCAAATCAATATTTTTATTTTTATTGAGTAATGAAAATAAACAAGTACCTAAAAATTATAATATGCAGTAAATTTGAATTATAATTTTATATTTGTGACAATATCATTTCTTTAATTGAAAACAAAAATGTATTTTATAAATATGTATTATTGTTTTATGCATAAACGAATAAATTCTCGTTATTTCTTTAATAACACGCTCAAAGAAATAAGTAGATAGGTACTCATCTTAATATCTTATGAAACAATGGAAGATTATCATAATTAAAATACAGTACTTACTAATTTATTTTACTATACATTTGTACTACTGACACATTCATTAGATAATATTTTTATAACTACTAAATTTCTGTTTAACATTTATACCTTAGAACACATAGGTATACATATTGTACATTATACAATAGATACACACCAATATAATATTTTTATCAAAAATGCTGCACCTATTATTACTTATTAGCTATTAGTAAATGAGTATAATTTACATTGAAATAATAATACTTACATTACTGGCTTCCATTTCTTTCGAAGCAACACAAATTTCCTGTTCTGTCAGGAAACCATTAAAATGTTCAGTTGAGTTGCACAAATCTTTTTGCATTAATGGTTCGGACAAATAGCGTGAAAACTGTTTGAAAACTGTAATTGTAAAAAATAATATGTTTTTTATTATAATATCAATGCATACTTATAAGTGCATAAGGCTGAATAATATTATGGAATGTATTATATTTACATTTACTTATGAAATATTTTAATCGYTTTATTGGTTTTTGTAAAAACATAGTTAAAGAAAGTTAGAAAAGTTATAATTAAGGAGAAACTAGAAATATACACAAATATACAATGCATACCTCCTGGAGACTCATAAGACCAACTGGCGGTGACACATGGTTGTTTGTTATCGACAACTTGTTCAGGTAAACAAATTGTATTGACTTCCTCCGATAAATCATATGGTATGTTGAGTTCTACCAATACCGAGTCATTGAAATAGCGCAATTTTTCGAATTTTACTCCAGGGTGACTAATTATCCTGGAAACTGATCTTTTTGTTAAATTCTGTTCATTAGCTACTCGAGATTTGCTTGAAATCGCTTCCCATTGTTCAGGTGATAAAGATTCATCACTATAATAATAATAATAATACAAATTTTAAGAATAAATAATTAAATCATTATTATTATTATTAAGAAATATTTACTTACATAGAATGTACGCAGCTATAAGACGATAATATCCAATTTCGTTTTACAAGACTAGACGTACATGACTTTTGGGTTCTTGTGTTATGAAGGTAAACAACAGAAGGCCATATTTCCATTGATAGTGGATCTTTGCCTCCAAAATCTCCACATACTAAAAAAGGGTATTAATTTCAAATTTTCAATGTAAAGAATTAATTAAATACAAAACAAAGACGCACGGTGCTTAGAAGAACATTTAATTTCCACAGTCTCACAAGATGTTGAAGCCGGCTCAAGGTATTCCGTCAAACTCTTAGAACTAGTTAAAGTTGAATTGTCTTTCAACTTAAGATAGCCCACAACGTTTTCGGTARAGTTTTCATTTGTTCGGAAATTAGTTGTTTTTGTTTCAGTAAACCCAAGACTTTGACAAACAAAGTTGCTCCAAGTGTCTGACCAATTATCACTACATATTTTCATGGCAATTTCACTTTCTTTTCTGTTATTTAACATAAATGGTTTATTTATATAYACATATATATAGTAAAGCCAGGCAAGTACCTATTATTTTATGTCAAGTATTCATTTTTTTGAGTAAAGTTGAGTTCAAAAGTCAAGTACTATCAAATTTTCAAAAAAGGTCGAGTACTCAAAAAGTGTTTACTCGAAAATTGTCTAAGTACTTGAAAACCTAATCTTACTCAAAAAGGGTAGAGTTCTCATAATTGCTAGAGAATTATTATTTTACAAAAACTTAAATATTGTTGACGTACGCTGATATTGGAGTTTTATTATTAATTTATATTAGTTTATTATTTAGTAGGATATTGTAATAGGAATAGAAAAATTAAAAATTTGCAATTATTTTTTCAATGAAACAGTGGAGTGGGTACTCGATTTCAATTGAGTATTGTTGAATAGGTACTTGAGTACAAACAAAATGTGGTCAGGTTAAATCCAGTACTTACTTGAACTTGACTCAAATTTTTTTTCAAACTAAAGTACTCAACCTGATTTTAATATTATATTCCTATATTTATTAAAAATATATTATAAGACTTAGGTATATACTAATCTACAAAATACATACTTTGCAAAAAGTTGAACTCCGTCGAGTTGAACGCATTGCCATTCATCACTTCGATCTGTGCACTGTGCTACATTGTCACAAACTTGGTTTTTCGGAATACATTCTGACCCCGTATTACACTTAAATTCGTTGGAATCACATTCTAAAAATAAACCATATTATAGATATAATTATTGTTTTATATTTGATTTACAATTCTAATAATTTGTTTAGTTGTATACATTTGTGATACTGGGAAAGGATTCCTCATAACATTAATATTTTAAATAATTTTTGAAATATTATTTACACTTAATGGCGTGGTAAGCGATATATTAATTGCGATAAAATACATATTTTAGATCCCCGTCCCCCCAAAAAAAAAAAAAATATTAAGTAAAACATTTTTTTCAACATCTTTTGGTATGCCTAAAACGATCCACATCATCTTGCATTATATAAATACACATTATTACACCAAACAAGAATGTTGGTYCACAAATATAGTGGTACCAGGGGGGTCCCTTTGGGACCTATGTAATGTCCATGCCACTAACTGAAACTCCATCTATTTCTCTAAGTTTGATATTAAACCTTGAGATTAACATATTAAAATTTACATACCACAATTTTGTTCGTCCTCGCCTTCAACACAATCATTTACTCCATTGCAACGTAAAGTACTCGATATGCAATAACTGTTAGAACACTGATACCCATCACAAGTACCTAAAACAAAAAATTATATCAATACCATAACTCTATATTAGTAATATTATCTTTGTATTATAAATAGTATTACTATTGCATTGTAGTTCATCTGAATGGTCATTACAATCAGATTTCCCGTCACAAAAATAGGATATCGGTAAACATTGTCCACCAGTACATTGTTTTTCGTCATTGGTACACTTCCATAAATCTATCATACAAACAATAATATATTAAATATATATTTAAAAATGACTTTATAAATTTGAAAAAAATAAATATTTATTGTATACATACCACAAGACTGTTCATCACTACCATCTTCACATTCCATTATATTATTGCAGACCAGATTTCTTTGTAGACATTCTCCACTTTTACACTGATAAAAAATTATATTGATAAGTTTTAACATTAAATAAATAATTAATAAATTATGCTCTTATTACCTGGAAATTTCCAGAGCAAGCATTTTCAGCACAGTTATATTCATCTGAGTTATCAGTACAATCTTTATTTGTATCACATCTTGACGACATTTTTATACAATATGAACCGTCCTTAGTTGTACCGTTTACACACTGGAATTGTCCTTCTTCACATTTGTTTGAATTTAATAATTCTGGAATCATATCCATGACATCTGATTTATTATTTTTTTTGATTTCTTTTTCTTTTTCTGTTTTGGTTTTGTTTCTCTTTGTAAATCCACTTTCAGAAAGATAAAATTCAGGATTTTTAGATGTCTTTTTGTCTTTTTTTTTTGACTCTGGTTTTTGGTATAAATCTAAGGCACTCATATTGTCATTTTCATTGACAACATCGGACATGTTTGATTCACTTGAGTGTGTTATAATTTTATCTATCACATCTTGTTCATCAGGTGAACTATTTTCATTGAAATTGTCAATATTACTTTGTGTAGATGTACTTAAAACATCAATATAAGGTAAATTAGTTGTCTGATCTTCCAGAGATGTCAGAGACTGTAACTTTTTAGTAGGATCGGGTATACTAGTTTTTTCCAATATTATCAAATCATCTGAATGTTTTTTTTCTGAGGAATTTGGWTCTGTTGAACTATGCAATGGATTAATTAGTTCTTGATCATTTGTTGAAGACATAGTGGTCATATCAATGAATTCGGTAACATGTTCACTTGCAATATTTTCCGATTCTTTAATAGGTATATTTATATCATCTTTGATGGTTGAACTTGCATCTACAGTTGAAACAGTTACAACACCTGATAAATCTTTTATGTCATCTGAAATAGTTGTTTCTGGCATTTMARTTATTTCTTCGATTGGACTTTTACTGTGGGATTCCGATATAAAATCAATAGTAGATTTGTTTGCAGATTTCAATTCCATTTGTTCAAAACCTAAAGATTCTGTTTTCATTTCTTCTTCTGCAGATGCATTTTCTTTTTCTGTTACTTCCAAATCACTAGGTAATTTTGGAATACCTGGAATTATAGATGAAGATGTAGTCAACCAGTTTTCAGTCATCGGTGGAATTGTACTTGATTCTTCTGGAACATTCAAATCAACATCTCCTAACAATTCAGAACCTTCTTTGGGCTTAGAATTGTGTTTAGATGGTGACTCAGTTTTTGTTTCAAATTCAGCTTCTGTTGATACACTATAAGTCACTTCAGGTTTGATTTCATGACTGAATACTTCTTCTGAATGTGATTTTGCTTCTCTATCAGATTGATCCATATTTATAATTGATTTCTCTGTTGAAGAACTAGAAAATGGTTTATTATTTTGTTCAGAGAAATCTGATTCAGAACTAATATCGACATCTGATAACGATTCATAAGTGTCGATAGAACTTGATTTTGAATTTGGTTCTGCACTAGGTTCTGGTTCTGGTTCTGGTTTAGTATCAGGATCAATTTTAGTGACAATTTCTGATTTTATTTCTTGTTCTGGCTGACTTGACTTTACTTCAGACTCAGGTCTAACAGTAGGTACAGAATTTGGCTCCGGTTCTGCTTTTACTTCTGGTTCTGAACTAGGCTCAGGTTCAGATTTTATTTCAGACACTGAACTTGGCTCCGGTTCAGCTTTGACTTCAGGTAAAGAACTTGGCTCTGGTTCAGCTTTGACTTCAGGTAAAGAACTTGACTCTGATTCAGCTTTGACTTCAGGCACAGAACTTGGCTCTGGTTCCGCTTTGACTTCAGGTACAGAACTTGGCTCTGGTTCCGCTTTGACTTCAGGTACAGAACTTGGCTCTGGTTCCGCTTTGACTTCAGATGCAGAACTTGGCTCTGGTTCAGCTTTGACTTCAGGTAGAGAACTTGGCTCTGGTTCAGCTTTGACTTCGGGTTCTGAACTTGGCTCTGGTTCAGCTTTGACTTCAGGTACAGAACTTGGTTCTGGTTCAGCTTTGACTTCGGGTACAGAACTTGGCTCTGGTTTGGCATTGACTTCAGGCACAGAACTTGGCTCTGGTTCTGAACTTGGCATTGATTCTGCTTTCACTTCAGGTTCTGGACTAAGCTCRAATTCTGCAACGATATCAGGTTTTGAACTTGATTTTGGTTCTGGTTCAACTTCAGGTACTGAACTTAGCTCTGGTTCAGATTTAGTTTTAGGTACTGAACTCGGCTCCGGTTCTGCTTTGACTTCTGGTTCTGAACTAGGCTCCGGTTCAGATTTAAATTTAGGTTCTGTGCTAGCATCAGATATTGAACTTGGTTCAGGGTCTATCTTCAATTCAGGCTTTGCTTCAGGTTCCGTACTAGGGTCAAGTTCCGAAAAAGAATCATATTCGGACTTAGTATCAAAGCTGTCTTCTTCATTTTGTTTATTATAATTAACGTTAATATCATCTAAATCGTTATTAACATCTAAAAAAAAAAATATATTTATAAATAAATTTTAAACACATTTTATAGTTCATAAACACTTACTAATTCGCTTGCAGTCTTTCTTATTCTCACTTATGGTAAGTTCAGATGGACATGAACATACAAATTCTAAACTTGTATAATCATAAGAACAGTAATGGGAGCATTTTCCGTTATCGATCTTGCATTTATCCATAACAACTATAAATAGAATAATGAGGTTGAAATATTAAATTACTTATAAAAATRAGGTATTTATGTATTACTTGTTTTTACTTACGATCTGAGCGCAATCTATGGATAGGCACTCTATAATTGTATAAATATCCATTAGTTTCTCGTAAATAACTATCTAATCGAGTGTTAAGAGTTACTGCATCAATGAGATCTTGTGGTTCACTGTCATCTTTATACTCCCAGCCTATTCTGTATTTAGCTACTACACTTCCAGAACTATAAAATTAATAAATAGGTAGTTTATTAGAGTATCTAATTAAATCTATAGTGAATAAACAATACTTACGAAAATTCAATGACTTTGATATGTATATCATCAGCAACACTATTCAATGGTTGTTTTTTAAAAAGAGCATTTTTTAGCTGAAAACATATGAACCATTATCATAAAAATAAAATTTAGAATAAAACGATAAATTACCTCGGTTTCTATTGAACTAGCTAATGTTTTAAATTCTGCAGTTGATTTGTTTGCTAAGTCAGGAGTAAATTGCATATTATCAATAACAATTTCACCTTGTACAGTTCTAGGAAGGTATACTACTGACATATCAGTGGTTGGAGGGCTAAATGGACTTGAACTTTCAGCACTAGGAGGTGGGCTGACTGATGAGAAATGTCTRTGGTGATTACCAAAACCGGCGATTTTCTCATTCTCCATGAAATTTCGACTCTCTACTGCGGTTTCGTTGTTGAATATTATACCGGCTAAAAAACATGGGATTAATCTCTGATTTATCATTAAAATCGATTTTAATTACTTGACGCTAAAATCGCGACGATGACAGCAGCAGCCAATAAGACCAAGCCAAACACCCAACAAATAAATGGTTTTTTAGATTGATTCATATCTCGTTTATCTTTGGTGACATACAATTTTTCTCCACCCCTGTGATAAATAAAACTGATTATAGGCCGTATAAATTAAAATTTATCAGAATTAATTCATTATTTATGAGAAACACTAACCTTATGTATTTTTTGTGTTCATTCACTGGAATAAAATAGTCATCGTACGTGTCATTCATATTGACAGCAGTTTCTTTTTTTTTAGTGGGAACTCCATTTTCCTTGCCATTAATGCTTTTGCCGAACGGTTTCATATTAATTAACTCTAAATTCACAGCTTCAGCCATTTTATCCTTTTCTTGATTTACAGTACCATTATGCCCGTTAGCTACAGGTTTTGGTATGTCAGTTTTATCAGTCTCAAAGCTCGGGTTATCGATACCCGTGCGAGGTGTTTCCATTTCTATAAAAAGTAAAAATAAATACAATAATTATATCATATCACTTTTGTCACCTTAAGTATATATACTGGTTAATATTTAAACACAAATAATTTAGTAAAATAGGAATGTATTTTAAAATATGGACTTAAGAAAATGTCTTGATAATCTTGTAATTTCGAAATTAAATTAAAGAATAAAACATGTGAATTGAGATCAAATATTTAATCAACATTTTTCATATTATAAAATCACAATCGATCAAATAACAATTTTATACACAATACCTTTGGAAAAGTCAGGCACGTCTATAATGAGTTTAGCGTCGCCAGCGGATGATTCTGTGTTAGAATTGTCCAAACCACTGTCGGCATTAGATGAGGACGGTGGCGACACTCTATGGTTGACAGCCATCCGGTCACCGTCGTATAAGGTGGTCACAGAGTTTTCTTGCATGTAGTCAGTGTTACCGCCGCTGGTTGTCGACATGCCTCTGAAGTCTCCGTTATCACTCAGATTTCCACAGGCACTACTACCATGTCAAATCTGTAAAAGTTATTTGAGATTATAGACACATGAAAAACTATTTTTTAAATGGAAAAAAATTAAGTAATTGTGTTTTTTTATAATATGTGCATAATTAATGTATAATTATAGACAATAGAGGGAGGGCTTTATATATATTTATATCATAGGTACATMGGATTTAATATACGCAAATTTAAACTTCGCGTTAGGTCCCTATAACACCCCATCTGTACATAACTATACAAAACTAGTGAAAGGTGCTTTATATCTAAAAGAGTAATGCCGGTGATTAGTTAAATAAATAGGAGAGGAAAGAGAAAGCTTACTAAGTAAAAAAAAAAATTCAATCATTTATTTGCTTTTAGTAGAATTTTTTTTAAACGGTAATTTTAGTAGGTAAATAACCCGGCTCTTACAAAACATTCAAAATGCTTTTGAATTTTAATTTTACCTGTTAAATATGCTTAACCAGTTATAGTAACGTGCAAATTACATTTTCATTGTATAGAAAAAAATTGTAATTATAAATATAATAGGATAGGTACATTTTATAAAATAAAATAAAAAAATACTAAAAAAGATTTAAATAATACAATAGCAATTAATAAAATATATATAATATGTACACGGTCATCATTTTTTAAAACGTGTTAATACATCATTTCATAATATTTTTAATTTTAACACATTATATGCTTGATACTTAATAAAAGTTTCTACAGAAGTTGTTTTCTTATATAAACCTAAGAATCTCAAAAATATTAAAGTACATATTATGATTTTTTTTATAGATATTTCAAATTCAAATTTCGAGAAAATTGAATAAAAACAACGATTATAATAATGCTATGGTAGTTTAAAAAAAATATTGTTTACAAGTACTTGACATTTTTTACATTTACATATTTATACGCAGCTACGTATTATTCAAAAACTGACATGCGGTCTCCATTCAGAATCATTTTTCATCGTATATTTGTATGTAATTATTTATCATTGAATCCAAATTTAACAGATCCAATACATCAGAAACCTAGGTCAATGATGAAGTACACTCAACCTCTATTAAGCAATATATATTAATATATATATTAAATTGAATTTTTTAACATATAACGAAAGGTATAATAATATTTTTTAAATAAAAAAAAAAAATAATACTTACATTTCGTAAAATCAATTAAAACTAATATTTTTTTTTCTAATATTTATTATACGGATTTAAGTATGAATATATATATTTTATTTGTCATATCTTAGATGGAGACTAAAAGGTCATATCAAGAAGCTAAAGATAGAACCTGTATAGAAAGCTGTCCGTCAAATTATAAGACATACAACAACTGGAGACGTTTCGGGATATTGCAGATCGTTGTATATGTGGATATAAATAGTTTTCTCATTATGATTTTTTCATGAACTATARTAAAATAGTTACTACTTTTCAATTTTTCATACATCGAAGAAYCGTGATCCAAGTACTATAAACTCAAACACACAATATACCTACTTTTATATTTATTTTTTATTAATATAAAATAATAAATTATGTTCTGTCAGATTATGAAACTGTAATAACATTATGGTATTTAAATATTTGATTAAAAATTCTTCGATAAGACTAATTTATGAATATGTATAAGCAATTTGTAAGAATCCTAGTGAGATCTTCTTAATCTGATTGATAATTTTTGACTAAATGAGGTCAAAAGTACATAATATAAAAAAGAGAACCATTTCAAATGTAAATCATAGTTGAAGTACTCAATTCCATACCAATGTAAACAAATTGGTGTATTATAGCGTGTCACTAATGACTAACYACCATTTGTGTGTGTCATCATACTAATTTCTTAAAGACTTTAGGTTTAGGTGCACTAGAAAATGACTAGTGTCATCATCTGTGAAAAGAATAAAAGAATTGTATAATAAACACATTAACTTATCCACAGACTGGCGAATTTCAATAATTTGTCAAAATTATTTATGGCTTTAGAGTTAGGACAAGGTGGTTAGATACAATTATGTGTATTGTTTCTTAACATTAAACATTTTCGACTTATTTGTGTCACAAGGTTAAACTCACTTCAAAACCAAGGGAAATTGAATTAATATGTATATGATTAATATCCTAAGAAAAAAATTTCTAATTTACAGTTGATCATCACTTAAGAACAATTCAGAGTTTTTTAGAAAATGTGTAAAGCAATTAATTTGACACTTTTTAAAATGTATAAATTAAACAATGAAGGTTATAAGTATCATTATCCATTTATACTCCGCAATATAGTTTCTTGATTTAGATTCAGCTTATACAATTATTACACTTGTTATGAGTGTATAGGAAAACTACAATAATTATAACACGGGAAAACTGAAATATTTAGTCAACAACAGTTTTTGAAAAWTTCGACTTTTTTTGTAATTCAGAAAGAAATTACTGTACAGAATTGAAATGTTAAAAGTATTGTATATAATATATTGTATTTACAATTTAGTAATTAAAGTTCAATTTTTAATGAAATTCGTACAAATAAATAAAAATAAGCCGATTATATTGATTAYACTTTTTAATTTTAATATCTAATAGACTTAAACGCGTAATACAATGTTTGTGGTAAGTTGTAATAAATAATTCAAAAGTATCAAAAATACAGTTATAATTGCATTTTAAGTACCTAAGCGTTTAAATTTCAAATTTTGGGCGAAATCTGATATTTAACACGTAAAATAACGATTTTATTTAATTAGTTCTAATTTTAAACATACATTACTAGAACTATTCCAGTATTACTTTATACCATCATATTTTTTTAAACGTAATGAAATTTTCTAAGTATTRGGACATACGTTTATCATGAATCTAATTACACCWGTCTATAATATTACGTCGATATTTATTTATAAGATAATAAACATAACATAGCATTACATTACAAAATATATGTTTGATGTTTTTATCAAAAATAGTTAAACCTACCAAATTAAAAAAATACTTTTAATAGAAAATAAACTATTTATATAAATATAGATTATAATATAATATATTGGTCATTGTGTTTCCTCCAGTCAGAATCGTTGTTTTTTAACTAAATTATTTATCATTACCTATAGGTACATTTATATAATATATACTATATCCATAAAACAGCTAGCAGAAAAAAAGCAGTGAGAGTTACCTGGATTTTTTATTTAAGTTTCCATACTAGGTTTATATTGTCTGTAAAAGAGTTTGAATTCAATATGTACTCATTACATGCAGAGGTCAAACATAATGCTRCAGTTTACACGCAATTTGTTGTTATTTTTATAAAAAATGTAAAATTCGATTGGATATTCGATTACTATCCGTTTGTACAATATTATTATACTATAAGTAAATATAGACGTTGAAAATATTCAATCACAGTATTATATTATTCCATGCCTAATAAACGACGTTTAAAGTGAAATATAGTAATTATCATAATATAATTGACCGGGTGAATAATACTTATAGAGCTTCACAACAAAGTTTCTCTGAAACGCTGGCAACCTAACTCATTCTTGAAAAGTCCACGAATTACGCCAAAATTATAAATCATTTCGTGTATATATATATATATATATAGGGCTCCGAAAAATTGCTGGTATAGGGATAACAAATAGATTTGGCAACTTTCCACCCGATCGTTTCTATAGTTAAGAAAAAAGGGATAATTAAATCGAATCGAACGAAAAAGCCAAAACGCTCTTGAAGAATAACAATTTACGGCCATATACGCGCGTAATCTTATAGATAAACGGCATGATAATATGTGCAACATTGATTTTGAGTTATATTTATAACTTTTAAAAGTATATTTAACTTTATGGATAGATCTTTACAATAAGTTAAAATGGTTGAATACGAGACACGACTGCAGTAGATTTTATATGATACGTTAAAATAACACTTAACGGTGTTCGACTGTCCAACAGACCGGTACGGCCTTCGCTATAGCCAAATCATTTTAAATATTATACCCGTTACTGCTTTATTATTATTATTTACTATTATTAATATCATTATTTTTTTGGCGGCCAACATAATTTTTTAGAATTCGATTTCGTCATGTCCTGTACAGTTTGTCTTAGGTGTGTGGCTATTTTCGAATTGCATTTCCCTGGATAATTATTAATTTCCGCAGCATATTATATTATTATTTGTACAGTACGTGTACACGGTGCTACCAATGTCTAGACGGGCAAATTGTTTCAACCGGTAGGTACGTGTCCAATCGGACTATTATTATTTATTACTACATTATAACAAGACCGTCTCGTGGAGAGGGTGGGACGGTCACGCGTGTGTGGGAGAGGTCCAGTCGGAAAGGTGAAAGTGGTYAGATCTCTGAGTAAACGACACGCAGCCGGGCAGGGTCTCTCAACACGTGGGGGACGCGATCAGACAACTTTTGAATGGCATTTTTTTACGAATTTGAAGTCCATGAATTCGTTGCTTTGCGAGCAGCCTTGTATATTGTAGGTATACACCACTTACGTAATGTCGTAATGTACCTAAGTATGGTTATAATATACAATATAAAAAGTTATATAACGAACTTTAATTTTCGGAAACGATCTGAACACAAAACCAAACTTGAAAAATATTTTATATATTATAATTCCGGCTAATTATTGTCGAATCACTGCTCATCAAATTCTCGGTATCTACGAATGAGTCTAAAATTATGTACATTTTATTTGAATATTGTTATTAAATTATATAGATTATGAAACACGATTATAATAACATCATGAATATATAGGTATTACATATATAATGTTGAATATTTTTAATCAAAATTCTGCGTGTATCATCCACACCCTACATACACGTCTTAAATAATGTTCATCCGTCATATCACAATACGTGATCCAGCTTTCCCACAAATTCCGTATACTCCTACGCGTGCAACACACAAATTATTTAACCCATTTATAATATTATTGTTATCATTTTGATAAATGAGCATTCTTTGCAGATCCCACGGCGC